TATAGAACCCTTGTTTTTATGTGCAAGGCCCTGTTTTATCCCCAGTACTGAAAAAAACCCATGAAATGAGTAAGATACAGTGACTCCTGCAGAGCTTGCTCAACTTCTGCTCCACACAGTACCGTTTAGCAAGATGGTCTTGTGAGACAACTGAACACTTCCTATGTAATCGGTCTGAGATTTATTGTAAGTATAAAATACATAATTTTGAACATTCAGTATTAAAATATTAAAAATATAATATCTTACATTGATATACTGAAATTATTTTAGATATTAAATAAAATACACTATCAAATTAATTTCCCCTTATTTCTTTTTTTAATGTAATTATCAATATTTTTAAATTATAGGCAGTCCCCAAATCAGGATGGTTTCACTTAAAACTTTTCAGCTTTATGATGATGTGAAAGCAATTCAAATTCAGTCAAAGCCTACTTCAAGTTGTGAATGCGACGTTTTCCCGGGTGAGTTCTCTCTCTCTCTCTCTGTCTGTCTCTGTCTGTCTGTCTCTCTCCCTCTCTCTGTGCTGGCGAAAGCAAGGCAGCTCCTGTCAGCCACACGATCGGGTTACGCAGCCAGCCCTCCACAGCACAGCACAGCACAGCACGTTGCTGAACAACCATGTGCAGGAAGCTCCCTGTATTAAACGCATTTTCAATTTGTGACATTCTCAACTTAAAATGTTCTGGGCTAGAACTGTATCCAAAGTCAAGCACCATCTACCTGTACATTTATAGCACACATTGTATTTGTACTGGACAGTTCTGTTTTGGACAAAGAAGAGAACCCAGTGAGTTATTCTGGTAACCTTCATTTTAATTAGTATAAACATTTCTACTTTTACATATGTTTTTCTCAAACAATTACTTTCAAAATCTTTCTACTAAACACATTACAGTGGTGCCCCTATACTGACAGAAGTGCTCCAAGACCCTCACAAGATGCCAGAAACCACAAACAGTACTGAACCCTAAACAAATTTTCTAGAGCTTTTACCTTTTCACAAAAAGGAGGCATTTTATGGCTTCTCTTTGGTGTATATGAATTGCTAGCATCACTGCACTTGCATTTGGGGCATTATTCGGTAAAATAAGAGTTACTTGGACATGTGCACTGCAATACCACAACCACGACCTGATACTACAAAAGCTGCGAAGTAGTTAACGGGCAGGGAGCATGGCCAGCACACAGCACAGGCACTGCAGACCAAGGGATGATTCACTGGGACAAAGTGAGCCAGTGTGGGACTTCATCTGTCTACCCAGAACAGCTGACAACGTGTAAGTTAGGAATTTCAGGAATTTTCCATTTAATGTTTTTGAGTCACAGTTAACTAAAGTTAACTGAAACCTCAGAAAACAAATCCACAGATAAGCAGATACCCCTGTAACTCAAACATTAACTATCATAGCAAAGGAAGAAATTAAAGAAATACTGCATAGAAAACAGCCAAATGCCTCCTGCTTTCTTTAGAAGTCTTATCTCTGTAAGATTGCATAACCTGGGGAAAGTAAAAGGACTTTGCTTTGCTTAGAATTTAAACACCTGAGGCTACTAAATGCCCTGAAAGTCTACATAGCTAAAATATTTTATGTATTCATTCTTAGAAGCCAAGAATCCTTAAATTAGGGCCTAAAATTGCTTAACAGTATTTTCTTTGGCATTTTTAAAAATAAATTACTGGTTATATTTGATCAGGGTTCTATTTACATAGGCACGAGTTCAAACAAAGATTAGATTCTTTCTGCATTTAACAATGCGTGGGGCTGGGGATTTAGCTCAGCGGCAAAAGCGCCTGCCTTGCAAGCGCAAGGTTGTGATTTCGGTTCCCGGTACTGGAGAAAAACGAAAAAAACAAAAAAACAAAAAAAGAGTATTCAAGAAGCATCAAGAGGTAGACATAAAATCATTTATGAAACTATTTTCTTTACCTTTTCCAAACAGATCAGGAGCTTATGTATAATCAGGTAAATCACTCACTTTATGTTCAATAATGTAATTCAAACTACTGTAAGAAAATAGCCATGTATTTCTACCTAGAACCAATATACTATAAACCCAGAACATATGACCATTGCCTCTAGCCTGTCGATGTTACAGGTGAGAAACTACGTAAACTGTACAGAAAGCATCAGTATTCTAGTAGAGCACTGAATGTGGGAGGAAAGTGCAGCCACTTTTTTTGTATTAGCACCACAATATTTCTAGGCAATCAAAGGGGCTATTCTCCAAATTCTCTTTTCTAAAAAGAACCTGTTGTATCAAAGAGAGATTAGCATTTACTCTATGTAAGTTCTGCACGGACCTCCCTTATGTCACATCTTTATCATTTTCTTGCCTGTTTCATGAATATTTATTTCATCTATGAATTATAAGCCAATGTATTACAGATCTGTAAGGGATATAAAGATCTGGACAACAGGCCACTGATACTGTAATAAGGCAGAAGAGTTAGCTCGATTTAACTCTCTCAAGTGGGTGAAATACCAGAATTAATAGGATTAAGGCACAAAAGCTGACAGCTCAGCTGAGAAAAGTTTTGGCAAAATTGCAACAGCATATCTCACAGAATTAGAGAAAACAATCCTAAATAACAAATGCTGGAGGGGCTGTGGGGAAAAAGGAACTCTTCTCCACTCTGGTGGGAGTGCAGACTGGTGCAACCACTGTGGACATCAGTGTGGAGATTCCTCAAAAAACTTGGAGGTCCTATTTTGACCCAGCTATTCCCATGCTGGGTGTATCTTCCCAGAAGAATTAAAAACATTGTACCACAGCGATACATGCACACTCATGTTTATAGCAGCACAATTTGTAATAGCTAGATCTTGGAAACAACCCCAATGCCCATCAACCGAGAAATGGATAAAAAACATGGTCTTTTTATATAACGGAGTATTACTCAGCCATAAAGAAGGATAAATTAGAGACTTTTATAGGCAAATGGATGCAACTGGAGACCACACTCATAAGTAAAATAACGAACAAATGAGACTCACACATATAAACATCATATAGTCTCCCTAGTGGGAAGCTGAAAAAGAGCAAAGCCAGGATTTCAACTTTAGCAGTCTTTCTCTAAAATCACGTTCCTAATCACTATGGTATGCTACTATCTAAACAGTGACACTACTACCCATTAATCTTTAATATTAACTCATTAAAAATGGCTCTATTTTACACTAGAAGAGGCATGTCTAAGAAAAGAATTTTGGTTTTGGTTTAAGTTTTATTTAATTAATTGGTACAATTAAGGTATACACAACGATCACATTCATCACAGGGAATTCACACCTGTACATGATATATTTTCATTCCTCTTTTTCCCCCCATACCTGTCCCCACTCTTCAAACCCCTTTCTCCTCCCCATTCACAAAGCTCTGCTTCCGTTTTACCCTTTTCTAATTTTTTTCTTTTTCTTTCCTTCCTTTCCCCTCTCACCTCCCTAGTTCCCTTTCCCTTTTGAACAGTTTCTTCCTATTTCACAGTATCTACTGTACATTTTGGTTCTTATTTACACTTTCAATTTCTCATACCAGGGAGATAACGCAGTATTTACATAGGTGTGTCCGATTTATTTCACTTGTACTTCATTTTGTAAAATTTTGCTTGACAACCTGTGATTCTAAACTGAAATTCATTATGTCAGTATTCTCTTTGTCAAAAAGGTTTTAACTTCTCAGTACTTTGAGAAATTAAGCCGGAGGCTCACAATCTTGATTTCTGTCTGGGAGACTTGATTAGACTCTGTCTCAAAATAAAGAATTTTTTAAAAAGCTGGGCAGATGACAGCTTCTGACACTAGGAGAATTTCAGATTTAATTCTTGCTTGGCTCAAGAAGACCAGGTATCTACTGGTGCTCCAGCGGAACACGGAGAAGAGCCCGGACCATGCAACACGACAGGGAAGGAGCAGACGCTGCTGTGCCGACGTGTATGAAGCATGAAATTCTGTGATGACTTACAAGGACGGCAAAAGACACACTCACAGATAGTTACAATGACAAATAATAAGGAATGTGTAATGATGTTGTAGAAATGTAAAAGTAAAGATTTTTGTGGGAACCAGCTGGCTTCTGACCCATAGATAAGCAGCATGAGATTGCCCGGAAAGGAGGCGCTGGGAATGTCCGGACATTATCTCCTCTCCTTGGGAGAAAGAACATCTTGTGTTGACACAGAGCGCCTTCCCCTCCTCTGTCCATGAGCGGAAGACCTCCGCATTCCTGCACACCACCACCAACCCCCCCGCCCCCCAGTCATAGGGAACCAATAAGTGTAAAAAACAATATGAACTAACCAATGCTATCTGCTTCTGTAGTGACGCTTGCAACTCCCCTCCTTTGTGGTTTTTCGGGTTAAAAAGCCAGAGCTAACCTGGCTTGGGGCTCTCTGTTCCTGCGAGTTCAGTGAGCCCCATGCATGCTTGGTGAATAAAAATCCCCTTGCTTTTTGCATGAGAGAGCGTCTCTTGGAGTCTTCCTTCACGCGGCGAGTGTCACGACCCTTACAATGTTAGCGCAGACAGAGCAAAAAACAGAGCACTGAGAGCTGTGATACCACCGGAAAGAAGAAAGGAAGGCTTCCCAGAGAAAGCATTCTGGGGATCAGAGACTGTTTACAAAAGCACTAAAATGCAATTTGTGAGATGCATACTTAGTTCATTTTAATTTCCCCTCAGTTTTAATGAGGAAGTTGCCATTGAAAGTTTTTAATTTGTAAAATCTATTTTAAAGTCATAAAATACTAAAAGGAGCTTTTAAAAACAGTTTGGTCCTTTAACTCTAAAAGCACAGTTTACATTACAGTAAAGTTACTAATAACAATTTCAAATTCCCTATTCAGTTCTCATTTCCTTGATTTCATTTGGCACTGATCTAAGTCAGTGTTACAGAAGGTTACATTCGTGCAAGTTAACGCAGCTTAATGATTAACTATATTCACCTGCTGACCTTACCTTTTACGTGGCAAATCCTGGCATATATAAAGTTTAAAAGTCTAGGTCTACTTATAGGAGAAAATTATTCAAAATTCCCTGAAACTGAATAATTAGGAAAAAATGTACACAATTAAGCTCTTTCTCATTATTGTTCCTCTAGTTCTTTCTTCCAGGGCTAATCAAGGCAATTTATCATCTGATTCTAAACCTTCAGAGCCAAAACCAAAATTTGCTAATTTAGAGGAGGTAAAACTTATCGCCAATGGCCTCCTTCAGTTGGGACACAGTCTTAAAGATTTAGCCCATAAGACTAAGAGCGAAATGAATGACATATTTAAAAAACTCAACATATTTGACCAATCTTTTTATGATCTATCACTGCAAACCAATGAAATTAAAAAAGAAGAAAAAGAACTGAGAAGAACTACATCCAAGCTACAAGTCAAAAATGAAGAGGTGAAGAACATGTCACTGCAACTCAACTTAAAACTTGAAAGCCTCTTAGAAGAAAAATTTCTACTTCAGCAGAAAGTGAGATATTTGGAGGAACAATTAACTAATTTAATTCAAAACCAACCTGACAATCAGGATCAGCCAGAAGTAACGTCACTTAAAGTAAGTAAAAAATCAAAGAGGGTTCATGATTGTTTTCAATGTGGACTTAAGAAAGTATTTGAGACATACTATTTAAAATTGTTGCATTATTAAAATACTTTATTTTTCTCAAGAAAAAAATTCTCTATACAACAAAATTTCCATTATAATTTCAAGTTGATTTTAATTTCCCTAATCATACATATGAAAACAACTTTGTATTTCATGTAAAAATTAGAAATCAGTTAATAATAAAATTTAGAATACTAATTACACTATTGCAAATTACTCGAAGTAAAAAATTCAATGAATTTAAATTTAGAATCATTCTTCCCTATTCAAACCCAGATAAATACAATACAGTAAATGGTGAAGAATTATTCCTATTAAAATACCGTGAAGTTTTCTTTCTTATAACTAAAGTTCAGAGTATCATATATGCTTTTTTAAAATCATACAAGTGAAAATGATTGCCAATATTCATTTTTCTATTAATTTAAAAATGAGATCATGATAGTTATAAATAAAACTTAAAGCAGAGAAAGGAAATCTTTAATCTAATTACCATCTATATCCAGACTTTTGTAGAACAGCAAGATAATAGCATCAAAGACCTTCTCCAGACAGTGGAAGAACAATATAAACAATTAAACCACCAGCACAGTGAAATAAAAGAAATAGAAAATCAGGTAAGTTGGTATTTTAATGGTATGTCCAATATTTTCCATTTTGGTTTACGTAAACACTAGACCCTAAAATTATTTAAAAGATTTAACTGGATTATGAGGAAAATGATCACAAAAGCATGGCTACTAAGACAGCAGGCTCTGCAGCTAACAATAACTTGAGTTTGAGTCACAGCTCTAAAATTTCCTAACTGAATAGGCCAGTTATCCTCTGCCTCTGAGTTTCCTCACGTCTTATAAAGATAGTAACAAAACCTACCTTACAGGGTTACTGTGAGGAAAAAAGAATTCAGCCAAAGGGATCCTACTGAATTTTAAATTAATCAGGTCTCTATTTTTGGTTCAAAACTCCTACAATGGGTCCCAGGTCCTGCTTGCTAAATCTTAGGACCTGAGATGCTCTGACCCTTTGAGATCTCCCTGACTTCATCTCAACCTAATCTAGTAACTTTGGCCTCTTACCTATTATTCTAACACAGCAAACACATGCCCCTCACAACCTCTGCCCTTCCTCCCTCTCCCGGGAAGGCTCAATGCTCCTCTCTCTGGTATCTGCATGGCCCTCTCTTTCATTTCCTTTAAGCTGTCATCATATACAAAATACTCAATGAAGCCTTTCTGGGTGACTTGATCAAAAATCACAACTCCCTATTCCCATCCTCCAAAGCTTCTGACCTTTAATAACTTTACCTCCTTAACACTTACTTTTAGATATAAATTCTAGTGATTTATCCTGCCTATTCCTGAACTAGAATGTAAGCCCTGTGAGCACTGGGATTTTTTCCATTGTTTTTATTGCTGTAGTCCCAGAACATAGGACATTATGTAGCACATAGCAGGCACTCAAAAAAATATCACTTGAACTAATAAATATATTCAGCGATGAGAAGTTCAGGAAGACTTCCTATGATTATTATTACTCATATTAGAAACTGTGTGCCTGAAAAATTAAATTGATCTACAATGCAAACGACTGGCTGAGATAGGTATGTATTTGGACTAAAGCTATCAGAATCTAAGCACTGTAAAATATAGGAGAAAAGTTTAGAAAGTATTACTTAGTACTACTCTTAAAAAGCCATTCAAGAGTGTTCAAAAAATAATACACACTCAGTGTCACTGGTGAAAAATTATTCCCAAGATGGACAAAACTAGTATCATTACTGATTTCTACTGAATAAATTTTGGTAAATAATGCTAATTTTCCAAAAAGTTTTTTGCCTACTGCTTTTTAATTTCCTTCTTTTTATGTTAGTTTTCTAAATTATTTTTTATTACATCTTTTATTTTATATCTTCATGGCAGGCCTGAGAATCAGTAACACCTATGACTGAGAATTACAAAATTTAAAATCTGCCCATGTTACTAAATAGAATCCTAAATAAATTCTACTGATATAAAGAGACTACTGTATATCAAAATGTTTTCAGCAGAATTTTTGGTCTTATTATTTTTCTGACTGTTTGGTTTTTTGTTTTGTTTTTATATTTTGCCTTCTCTTGATTTTTTAGCTCATTAAATATTATGTCTGATTAAATATTGCTGTGAACAGATCATCTGTAAAATCTGGATAGTACTGTTTATTCCTCTTAACATCAAAGGCAATAATATTATGAAATGAAAGATAAGACAAATATAAACATCGTTTCTGATATACTTACTCAGATTTCTTCAAATTATATGCATATTCAGTACCATTTATTAAAAATAATGGTTTTCTTTTATTAGCTCAGAAGGACTAGTATTCAAGAACTCAAAGAAAATTCTCTTTCTTCCAAACCAAGAGCACCAAGAACTACCCCCACTCTTCAGCTGAATGAAACAAAAAATGTAGAAGAAGATGGTAAGATAACTTGGTGGTTTCCTTCTAGAAGGCACAATCAAATTCCCTGTTCTCAGAATCTGATGTTGACTAAAAGAGAATAAAAAGGTACATCCACCAATTATGGTGTGTCAATTTAAACTGAACTCTGGGCTGTTTTTAAACCTTTTAAAGATATTGCTCAGATAACCAGTGGAATATAAATATGGACTTCACATCAGAAAATACAGAATGATTATTAATTTTCTACTTGTGATAACAATATTACTGTTAGGAAAAAGAGTAATTCATGTTTAGGAGATATATGCTGAAATATTTAAGGAGTTAAAGGGTCATGATGTTTGGAAACTGCTTTCAAATAGTACAAATAAAACACATATATATGCCTGCAAATATGGTACAACGCTACCAATTACTGAATACAGACCCAAATGTTATGGTGTTCCCTTCAATAATTATTCCCACTTTCCTTGAAAATTTTCAAAAGAAAAACAGAAGTTGCAGGAACAAAGTCTCCATTCCCAAACTACAACGTGATATATTCTCAAAACACTTATTTTTATGTATTTAATACAGAAAAAAGTCCATGTTACTGTTTTTTTTCATGTATGTTCACTCTTTCCACCTATTTTTATTCACTACCTGCAACTGGTATACATTCAACAGTGAACTAAGTTTCATATATATTTCTGCCACTTAATATTTTTATGATGTCAACCAAATATTATAATAATGTTTAAAGTTGTCACTTAAAAAATAAAGGAGTTCGGTAGTACCACTTTTATATAACCTGCTAACAAAAGTGAGTTAGCATAAACATCACTGAAAAAAGCTATATTCCCCACAACTCCATCCAATGTCAAGTAGAATCTCCAGCTCCAAACACATTCTCACTACTTAACTTTTTATACACTAATTCTGTTGACCTCAGGCCTCCCTGGTGACTGCTCCGCCATTCATAAGAGAAGTGGACACAGAAGTGGCATATATGCCATTAGACCCAACAACTCTCAAGCATTTAACGTCTACTGTGATGTGAAGTCAGGTAAAACCTGCCGATGGGGAGAATGGACTGTGGCTAGTTCACTGTATGTATTACCTAGTATTCGCAAAGCTAACCCTGTTAGCTCTGTTCTAAATAGACGCACTTTGAAATATAGATAAGCAATCATGTAATTCTAATACTTCCATTTTGTATTGCTTATTTATGTATTTATACAGTATTCTCTATTTCCTCTATAAAATAATCTGAAGTGACTATTGTCAGCAAGTTTACAAAAAAAAATTAATTAGTTGCCCTTCAGTTAACTGTTTAGGACCATAAAAAATAATAAAGCATATTATTATTCATGTATTATACATTACCACATTAACAAATTACCTTGTAAAGCTATAATTAAAACCAAACTTCAAAAAATGTACTTTTTAACATCTGTCAACATCAATCTTCTAAAAACACACAATTTCATTCATTATATTCAGGTAGTTCATGGACAACAATTCAACACCGAAGAGATGGATCACAAAATTTCAATGAAACATGGGAAAATTACAAACATGGTTTTGGTAAGCTTGATGGTAAGGTGACTTCATTTAATCATCCTTCATTTGCTCATTTTAAAATATTTATTGAGAACCTATTATGAACTGGACACTGGAAAAGCAACAATGAACAACAAATAGTTCCAGGATCTATAAGATGTATAACAAAGACACATTTGTTAGTAATAACATCACAGTCATTGTCTGAATTATACTTATCACAGTTCAATGACTTAGACCCATATGTGTAAACGTCATATTGTCTCCCTACTGTAAGAACCTGAAAAAGTAAATAAAACCTGAAAGGTACAACAGATATTATGAAAGGGAAAGAAACTGAACAAAGGGAAGGAACAACTGGGATGAGGGAAAGGAGAAAAGAAAGAAGGAAGGGAAAAAAATATATGTATATACAAGGATAGCTGGGATAAGTGAACTGCTGAATTGGTTTATTGAAAGGAACAGTTAATGCTTAAATCTTTTTTTTAACCAATTTTGCATGCTTATATCTGGTAATCTGAACAATTAATTTGAAGACAATAATATGCAATACGACAACTAAATACTAACTAAATACTAACTAAAGACTGACAAGTGCAGAATGTTTACTCACTTCTGATGAAAAAGCCCTTTGTACTTACATTACGATCTTTAAATAGAGAATCCAACTAAGTCAGTAACAGTGAGGAAATACACATTTTTCATTAAATACTTTAGTAAGGATTATGATAAAGAATGACTTATTTGTCCTTATGTTTTCAATTCCAAATAAAGCTAATTTTAATATTATAGAGAACAGTTACTAAGACTCAAGCATTTAAATTTAGATTTTTAAAAAATTTATGACCTTCCTTCTCTATGAAAAAAACATATTTATAAAGCAAATACCAATGGCCATATTTATATCTGAGAAAAATGACATTACTATTATCCAAATCTGGGACTACTTCACAAATCTCTTACTGCATATGACTATAGATATACAGCTGATAGTCAAGTTGGTATATAGGTAAGTATTAAGAAGTGACACTCTACAAATGACTAACTCTAAAAAGATTTCTAATAGTCTAATATGTGTCAAATGGTCGGCATCTTGTAATACCCATTTTAGAAATGCTCATCAGTCTTTAGACAAGTCTATTACTATTTCAGCATTGTTTGTACATAAGCTAGCATCAGTAAAATTGTTTAAAAATGAATACTTTAAAAGACTAATGCTGGGCGTGGTGGCACATGCCTGTAATCCCAGCACTTGGGAGGCAGAGGCAGGAGGATCGTTGCAAGTTCGAGACCAACCTGGGCTACACAGTGAGCTCAAGGCCAGCCTGAACTGCATAGCGAGACCCTGTCTCAAAAAAAAAAAAACAAAAAAAAGGACTATTAAAATAACCAAGAATTCAAGACTAAAGCAATTAATTTATTTACACAAATTAAAAATACTAAAAAATTCTCAGGGCTTAATCTACAGTTAACAATCCATAGATTGTTAAAACTTCTTTTCAGGAGAATTTTGGCTGGGCCTAGAAAAGATACATTCTATAGTGAAGCAATCTAACTACATTTTACGAATTGAACTAGAAGACTGGAAAGACAACAAGTACCATGTTGAATACTCTTTTCACTTGGGAAACCATGAAACCAACTATATGCTACACCTGGCCCAGATGACGGGCAATGGCCCCAAGGTGTTCCCAGAACACAAAGACTTGGTGTTTTCCACGTGGGATCACAGAGCAGGACACCTGAACTGTTCAGAAGGTTATTCAGGTACCCTCTTCCACTGCCAATGCTTTATTTTTCTATCTTCGAAATGTCTTCCCATAGTTTTAAGCAACTCTGTAATCCAATTCTTTCAAATTGTAATGTCAACTAAGCATTTTCTCTATAAAAATCTGTTAGCAATAAACAGTGTTACTGTAGTTCAACCAGGTATTTTAGCGATAATCCTCCTCAGATATATTTTGTGGTATACATAAAAGTTGTACAAATTACTTAAAACTGGGATACACAGATCTACAAAACTGTCATGTTCAAAAGAAATGGAGTATATTGTATTCATAGAGAAGCAGAGTAGCAGTAAGTATAAATGAGTTTGTATTCATTAAATTGCTTATCTTCCTTAGGAGGCTGGTGGTGGCATGACGTAAGTGATGAAAACACCCTAAATGGCAAATACAAGAAACCAAGAGCAAAATCTAAGACAGAGAAGAGAAGAGGAATATGCTGGAGGTCTCAGAATGGAAAGTTATATTCTATCAAATCAACCAAAATGTTGATTCACCCCAAAAATTTAGAAAGCTTTGAATGAGCCGAGGAAAATTCAAAGATAATAAATCAAATATTAAACTCATTTCAAATTACTGTGGTTTAATAATCTGGTATTTAATCTTTAACGGGAGGTTTGAGGAGTAATTTTTTAATTTTAAAGTTTATCAATTTAAGATTAAATATCACATCAATTCAAAGAATACCATTTACCCTTCTCAATCAAAATTTTTGTATCATTTGTCCATATGTTTAGTGATATAGCAATACACTTTGGATGGTCACAATCTAAATTATAGCTTCTGGGTAAATCGTTAAATAACTTTTTAAAATGAGAAAACTTAAGAAGATTTTTATCATAAAAATATGGGCTAATTTAACAACTTCCTCAGTTTAAAAAAAACTAACTTTATTAAAACTCTAAATTTCAGTAAACATAAAAGATGGATAATTTTATAGTTGTTAAATGTATTATTAATTTCAAAACAAAAATTCATGTGGTTCAGAGTATATGCAGGAATCCATAATATAAATTTTAAAACTGATGCTTCATTTTCTACAAAATAATTTGGAGCAATTATTTGATGTGGCTTATTATAAAGGAAATGAAGTAGGATGAGTACTGCATGGAAACAGGCTGAGTGTCTTGTACAAGTGCAGTAGACAACAACTACTAAGTCATACTGACTTGGGCTGGGGATTTAGCTCAGCGGCACAGTGCCTGTCTGGCAAGCGGGAGGTCGTGAGTTCGATTCCCGGTACCGGAAAAAACAAAACAAAACAACAAAAAAAAGTCATACTGACTTTACCGTCAAGCACCACTGTATCTTATTTGTTCACATCTATACCACATGCATTTTATATATTTTAACACTAATATTGCATAAACCAGTAATTTTAAATGAACCTTATCAGAATATAGTAAGAATGAATGCCTCTGCAGCATTGTTAACATTTAAAAATAATTTATTCCTTCTGAACATGCTGTGAGTCTAGTACTTTTGTGCAGATATTAAATAATCATAAAACATTTTCAAATGTTTAAATAGCTGAACAGGCATGTTTGTACTTCTAAAATTCAATAAATAAAGACTCAGTCCCTAAATTGTACATACTCCAATTCATGTAGTTTTTTGACATCAGAATAAACATATGACTAAGTTGTTTTTAACTTAAGAAATTTAATCACTAGATCCCAAAGACTATCAGACACAAATTTTTTGAGCATAATATTACTTTTGGGTATTTAGTTTCAAGTGACTTTAAAACAACTACTGAAACAGAAATAAAATTTTGAATTAAACGTAGTTTTCAAAGGATATAGTACCCAACTTCCAGTTTTACCTTAAATCAACATTCAGTATTATGTATTTTTAATTATCCATTGTTATATGTATATTTTTAGATATCTTACATGTAAAAGATATGTATAACCTATGTGGAGGCTATATAAATAGTCTTTCAGAAAAACAAAAGAATAAAGACCATTTTCAGAACCACACACAGCCCACACTGTCAAAACGTAAGAGTTTCTAGAGCCAAATGCGAAAATGGCTTTTAAAAGAATAGAAATTTTGGAATGTAAAACATTTCATTATGTAATATACCAACTGTTTCCTGAATTTGCTTTCCTTTTTCTACTTTTCAAAATTCTTACCTAGTCTCCTTCATTTTGTTCCTTTTAAGGATTCTAAGTTAGACTTTTTTTTCTACATACAAACCTCAGCTTGGGAGAATTCTGGTAAAGAAAGAGAAAGGTATTTGCGCTGCATGGTTCACAAAAGTAAGTGCTTCTGTGCACAGACTGCTTTGTCTAAAGAGTCAGAACCCTAACTCACTCGCAGTGGTCTCAACTACTGGCCTTCTCTCCCTGCTTTCCCTTTGATCTCTCTGGTTCCTATGCAGGGCAATGTCCTTTTCAAACCTCCGGCTGCTTCCACAGTACAGCACACCCACTCCCCACGGATTACCCCTTACCCAGGTCCGTCCTCATAACCCACTCCTTCCTCATACTTAGTACTAACTATGGAGTAACACGCAACCTTCAATTGTCTTTCCTACTCTGATCCTCAGACATTCCACCTGCCCTTACGGACTCATCTATTTTCCATTAATCAGTTCCCCAAATCTGCATACTCCTACCAGCTCTCTGACACCCTTCAGGCTCCTCAAATCAGACTATCAAATAACAAATTCTCTGCTGTCCTTTCCACGCCTTTTCCTGCCTCCTAACTTCCTCACACCCATTAACACGGCCACACTGCCCACAGGCACAGAAGCTTGGGACTTGGAAGACATCCCTGGCTCCTAACTTTATAAGCCACCTCTTTTCTGTCATGGCCAAGTTCAATACAGTTTTCTTTCAAAAGGTCTCTTCATCTCATACACTGTCTTCTCAAGGATTATCTTTAAGTCGAGTCTTAGGTTATTTAAAGAGTCTACCCCAGCCTGCTAATTTTATGTCTCTCTCTCTCTCTTCAGTCTTCTTACAACAAATTTATAATGGCATACTACTTTGACTTATGTTTTTCAAGCTTATTTACTGAAGAAGTACAATGCCTGAGAATAAAAACGTACCCTTATAGGTTCTGAAGTTATAGGATAAAATGGCTTGTTCTAAGCATAAATGTCTTTTAGAATCTTACCGGGACCTTACCTTAAATCTCAGGCTCTTATCTTAAAATTGCGTATGAATTGTGTTTTAAACTCCATAAATCTACCTTCATGTAAAAATGGTTGTTTCCTCCAAAATCTTCTGGAAAGTGATGCTCCTACGAGATGCATAGTTTGTCCTATGTGCTTATACATCCTACAAAGCTGTACCCTCATGAGAATGTGCACCCCAATTCAGAGGCCTGTGGAACAAAACCCAAATCCTTTCCAGGTATTCAAGAGTCCCTACATCTGACCCCAGTTACGTCTTTTGTCTTTTACCTAACACAAAACGCTTCTCTAATAAAAACTACCTGCTTGTAAACCTCCTCTCTCCTTTCCTAGTGCACTCCACTTGCCTAGCAGCCTCCCCACCCCTTTCAACCATCTAGGTCCTGTGCATACTTCCAGATGCAGACGACCTCACTGCTCCCGAAATATCCTAGTATATGGCTGCTCGTTCCTCCGCAATCACAGCATAAATGTCTGCACTCCTCAAATGGCACTTAGTAAGTGAAGAAAAGAAAAAAGTACATCCTGGCAAATTACAATAAAAATTCTAAAACAGTAATAAAAACTCCAGAAGCATTAAATATAGTGAATCTACTTGATTTTAGAGAATTACCGCAAATTTTCTATGCCATACTCTGATTCAGAATGAATCTTACTGACAGCAAGTACACACATTTCTCCTCAGGCTCACCTATTATTTTCACGCCCTGTCTCGTCCTGCACTCAGCACTTTTTCATATACACTTCTTCCTGGTAGCATAAATCATGAAATTCAATTAGCTCATTCATTAATAAAAGTGTATTCACTGACTAGCATTATTTATTTATGCTGTTATATGTGCTACCTTCTGTTATAATCAAATTCCTGTGTTTGTTTTCATCCCTAACAACCACATGCAGTTCACTTACAGATACCCTACCGAGTGACTGTCCTGTACTGTAGTTCTGAAAACTGAAAAGACAGTGACCAAACAATCGGCCTTTTTATCAAAGTCCAAAGTATTCTCAGTGCAAATCAATCAAGGCAAAATTACTCAACTGGTATGAGATGTGCAGTTCAAGGTTATGCAAGTATGGATAACCAACTTCCACAATAAGCTTTTCCAAGATGAGGTTTCAACATGTTAGAAAATATAATTAAGGATTCCATATAAAACAAAAAAGTTGTTTTTCTAAATCCATGTGTTTAGCCCTAAGAACTATAAAATGCCTAAGAAAATGACTAGGTTTATTTGAAACAGCAATACCCTACAGATGCGTGTGGTTGTTACTGTTCACATCCAAATAAACAGCTGAGCCTCAGTTTACACACCCAGTCTACACGGGTGGCTTGCCAATCCTACGTGGGGTCACAGTCATCCAGTCAGACGCTACATTTCAATGGCTTTTTGAACTATAATGTTTTAAACGTGTGCACACTTCTAAAACCTAGGTATTAGGTATCACTTTTCATATTCCTTCAAGTATATAAACTGCACAAATACTTCCTAACTGAAAATATTCTCATTCCCAGAATAGACAAAACTGCTTTTTTCATAGTCTGCTCTTTCTGGAATTTTACTCCTTCCCGTGGAAGTCTGAGGTAACATCCCACTATCCTCAGATGAGCCCCTAGCTTTTTAAAAACTCCTGGTTGGTTATGTTTAAAATGTTAGGAAACAAGAGCTCTCAGCTCAAGAAGTTTTACAGTTAAAATAAACTAAAACTAATTAGAGATAAAAACTAATTAGAGATAAATAAAAGTCAGAGTGCTATATCCAGGGCAAACTCAAAACAGCAGAGTATATGGCAATAGTGTGAAACATCTATGAACAGTAAAAACAAAACCAATACTCTCTACAGCAGAAAACCCTAAGTTGAATGGGAAGACTGCCTCTTAACTTTCAGGAACACCAACATGAAATTTGCACTTCTCTAACTAAAAATGCAGGAAATAGGTATAACCACTTGAGAAGCTGGGCAGAAGGATCTGGAGTTACAGACCCTGAGCAACTCCGTCAGATCCTGTCTCAAACTAGGAAGAGCTGGAGGTGAAGCCCATTGCTCCCTGGATCCAATCTGTGCTAGGGGAAGAAAAAAAAAATATAGGAAACTAATCACAGCAGTATTAGCAGTATATAAGATTTTAGTACTTAAAACTACAGCAATTTTTATAGCTGAGGCTAGGTCTAGCTGTTTAATTAATTAATAAGGAAGCCACAGCTTTAATATTTTCATCATTTAATTCTACATAATTGATTTCCTTTATTATCCCATGTATTTTATTTTATGCACTTAAAAACATTCCAGGGGGCTGGGGATGTAGCTCAGCGGCAAAAGCGCCTGCCTGGCAAACGCAAGGTCGTGAGTTCGGTTCCCGGTACCAGAGAAAAACCAAAAAAAAAAAAACATTCCAAAGAAGATCATAGGATTTACCCCCCAAAAAAGAAAGAAAAGAATCAATTAGCAACTAAACTCCAAAGGGAGACCCACCGTCGTCTGAAAGCCTATTTCAAGAAACATGAACTGCATGGCTGTTAAATCATAGCATGAATAGCACATACTCATTCTAGCTGGCCAAGATATTTCTAGAAACAAAATGTGGAAAAAGTTTTATCAGTGAATAATATGCTTATTAAATTACTCAAGAAAAACTGATGAAGGTAAAACTATAGGGATCATAAAACATGTTACTGCTTCTGGGTCTTTTAAGTCCTCATAGAGATACATCCTTTATGACTAACAAACCAATGACACAACCATTAGTTAGAATTGGGGGGAAAAGAGGCCAAGCAATAGTTGAAACAAGGACAATGGCAATTAACTACACCGTTCACTTTACTTTTGTGTAATGTTTGGAGTTTTAAATAATAAACTTTATATTCAGATTAGTTCTCAAATAAAAGATTTGCTATGATTCAGTAAGCACTGAGTGGGTCATACTCCTACCCGCTGTGGTCAGCAGCACAATAACTACAGCCTTTGCTTCCCACACTGGTGGTTACCACTTCGGCACACTGCATCCATTCTCACATCCTAGTAACACCGTAACTGCTAACTGCTCTTAACAAAACCTGTAAGAACAGCAAAGATACGAAAGTTCAACAGGTGATTACAACTAAGGCTATTGTTGGGAAAGAGGGTAATTCCAACAGTCTTGCCAAGGATATCATGTGCTCTGTGGACACATCTCTTACAAACTGGATGTCCATAAAACACAGCTCAACTAGATGTACCTTGATCTATTACAACTCAAATCCAACAGTGGCAGTCAAGCAACAATTTAGAACACAAGTAACATCACACAGGCTCTCCTATCCACCTCTGTGACAATTTCAGATATTTGATAAAGGGTTTTATCGCATCAGTAAGAAAGGGCTCACTGTTTCCCTATTACAATATACTAGTTGCACTGATATCTTCTCTGACACTATGAGAGCATAAAGCAACCATTTGATGTAAATTTC